GATTTTCTGGAAGTCTCCCAAAACTTGGTTATGCCATCAGGTCTGGGGGCCCCAGGGGACAGGCAAGGTGCTGAGGTGACTCCATTGTTGTTAACATATGCTGTCCTCTCTTAGCCTTTGTGACTTTTTAATTTTTAATAATAATTGTTTTTTATATGTTAACTGCCTTATTGTACTCTGCTCAAAGTTATGTTTTCATGAGATGGGCAGTCATATAAATTTGATGAATGAATGAATAAATAAATAAAATGTATTCAGTAGATGGACTTATGAGGATAAATACACTGAATAATTTCTAGCACTTTAAACTCTTTATCCAACTATACAACGATGTGAAAAATTATAGAGCTAAAATCTGATACAAGTTTACCTCTGAAAAGAGCATTTTTAAGATTGTGACAGGCCTAAGGACAGACAGCTGATTAAGGTGCTGCCCCATTTTTCTCACTGTATTCTATGTTAATGTCTTATAGAAAAAAAATGACCATGTATAGAAATAATGTACAGAAACCACAAACTTTGAAATAACTCTGATTATATATTAGATATGTAGTTTTGCTACTCTGAGTGAAAAGAGTTGATCCATCTGAACATTTCAAATATTGATCTGTACTTCATATGGGGTCCCCTCCATGTGCAAAAAGCAGGCCACTTGGCCTCATTGCCCAATTTAAAAAAAACAAAAAAGCTTGCCCAAAAGTAAAACCAGATGAGTGTGACTTTTCTTAATTTATAGTAGGAAAACTGTGCTGTTAAGCTGTGATTTCGAATTCAGCTGAAATTACTTCTGAGAAAGCATGCTTAGCATTGCATAATACACCATAATCATATGAATGTATATTTGTAAATTTCTACAATCTCATTTTTGTTTTTAGCTAAATAACTCTATTGTTCTCTCCTTATTCAGCATAAGAAACTGTTATTTTGTAATGTACATATATATGTACAGTACTATGCAAAGGTTTTAGGCAGGTGTGAAAACATGCTGTAAAGTAAGAATGCTTTCAAAAATATATATTGTAGTTGTTTATGTTGACCAATTTACAAAATGCAAGGTGAGCAAACAGAAGAAAAACCCAAATTAAATCAATATTTGGTGTGACCACCCTTTGCCTTCAAAATAGC